CTATTATGATACAGGCGTGGGTGCTATTATGTCAAGCACTTCCCCAAGGGCTTCGGCTATCGTTGTTGACGGGTGTGTAGATACCCGCAACAGCTATGAAAGTAATTATGTTCCGGCGGTGCTAGCAACGCCTTCAGAACTCAAAAACGACCGCCACCAATTCATTGGTACCATGACGCTGACTTAGTGGCACGGCCTTACCGAGTGGTATGGGACGACAATTGGGCACCACGCGCAGGTTTTCTAATATGAACTCGTCAGGTAATCTTATCAGTGGGTGTCCACATAGGAACAATTTTCATCTTGCCGGCTTGTTACCATAAAGAAGCAAGCACGGCGCACGTAACACAGCCGGGCAGCACAAGTATGTTAGCGCAAATTCGCTAAGCCAGGGGTATCATTTAAGATTAATCCCTTCCAAGAACGGGACAATTCAGCATCACCGGCTCAAGAAATTTTTAGGTATGAAAACACTCTTCTGGCTGTATGCTCATATGTCGAAAGGAAGCAACGCGTGTCATGGACACTACGGCATTTACGGGTATGGCGAGACGAACGAGTAATAGGGACTTCGTCATGCAGATATCTGCTGCAAGAGATCCCCAATTGCTAGCCCATAGACTAAAGTTTTGGGAGGAATCGACAATTATGCTGGTGGGACTGCCCGACTCTGAATGCATGCTGCGAGCGATGATAAAAGGCGCGCAGTGGGACGAGAATGGAAATATGGAGGTAGCGTTGAGATTCTACCCGCAGGACATGGAAGCCCTAGAAAATGTAGAAGAATTTATTCATATGGCGGTGCAGCCGGACGATGCTTATACAGTTTTCGAATTTCGTATCAAGCAGTTTAAAAATAAGGCGGTCGAGTCTTGTCTCCGATTGAGAACTCCCTATGTCCACACCTTGGAGGTCCTTCTAGGAATTGAACCGGAATGCTCTACACTCTACCAACATTTCCAAGTCTCAGCACAAACTGCTGCTGTTCTAACTAAGCAGCAGGTGGAGGTAGCGGAAGCTCTATTGGGTAACATACCGGTCTTGTTTCAACAAACCCCACCAGGGACAGATAAAACCTGCGTTGTAGGAGCATCCATGAAGGAGCTTTTGCAGCACCAGGAGGACGATGAAATAATACTGGTTGCAGCCATAACTAATATTGCGGTAATAAATGCAACTAATACCATCTTGGCCAATGTTCCAGAGTTGCAGGATGATGATATGTGCTTCTTACAATCCACAAACGCGGAGCTCGTCTTCCCGCATCCAAATGATCCGGATCCCAATTATTGGACAAAGACTAGACTACCTGAGGGAATACATAGACCTAGGAAAGCTGGTGCTATAAGCCGGAGGACCGGTCGTTTGTAAACAGCTATTTTGAGCGGCGTCTGCCCCACAAGGGCTTGAAGGCTAATGACTCTAGGGCGTTACGGATCACAATGGAGCAA